GACCTCCCAACACCGTTGTACTTTCTTTTTTATTTAATTTTACTAGTTAACTTCTCAAAAAAAAAAAAAATTTCACTGTAAGAAGCTTTCACAACCTCTTATATCCCAATAACTATTTTTTTTAGATGGTTTGTTAGTATTCTGATTGAGTTGTCTCATCAACCAGCATAAGAAGCATCACCAAACTTGAGCACTGAAGGACTTAATGTGTATGTGATTATAAATCTTTGCATTTATACCAATCCTATGGAAATTTTCTGCCTTAGTTCTTTAGGACGCTTTGTGATTGGAAATTTACTTAACTAACTTGCCTTTTTCCTCCTTTTGTCTAACCTTCTGGACTGGTACCTTTCCTCTTTATCACGATAAATGTGTTGTTTGGGTGTTAGTTGAAGTTGATTTGGCATAATATGTGGAATCAACTAACGACAAGAGCATGACCATCCAATTCTAATAACACCTTTTCTCTTTATGCAAACAAACTTCCTGTTTGTTACCCAAAACAATAGTGTTGTTTGACTACAGGTTAAATTTGGATCACCATAGTATGCTGAATGAACAGGCTCCAAAAGGATGACTATTAGACTCTAATGAGAGGCTTCGTTAGAAGTCCTCTTCCATGAAGTGCTAACTTTTCTATATCATCATTGTGTAGCCGACCCTAATTAGTTGAAAAATGTTTTGTTGATTATTATGATGTGGCAAAAGTTTTATGCTGGCTTCCAACCTAACACAACCGTTCTCCTTTCTCATCCGAGCTCGGGACCGGCTGTGGCGGAGTTTCTCCTCCCACAAAAAAATGAACAAATATTGCCATAAATAATTTGACTACATGAATGTACTAATACTTTCAACACATATCAGTCTAAGAGCACTCTCCTCACCCCTTCGATCCCTCCTCAGCTTCCATTATCAACTGAGTCGACCTCATTTTGACCAGTTCACATACATGGGTTGCCCCATTTATCTCTCCCTTTTATCCATAACTCCCCAGGATCCGGTCCTTCACATCCAACTCAATTAGGGAATCTTTATAGTGAGAGCCTAGATGCTCCTCTGCTAACCAATTCACACCAAGTGACAATTAAGTATCAGATAAAAAAATCCGATCCAAAAGTAAAAGATCGCCAAAAACACTAAACAAATATTAGTAGTGAGAAGATATGTTAATAAAAATATAATATAAAGAAGAATGACTCATATTCCAGTGGGTACCACTTTTAAGGACCTACTAATGTTTTAAAACAGTTGAAGTTTGACCAACATTACTGGTAACATAAGTTTACAACAGTAGTTCAAGCAAATTTTAAAAATGCAATAGGATTACTTTGGTTTGAAAAAATTTCTGACATTAGTTCTCACTCTGAATTGGAGCATCTGCAAACTAAATATATTTCATGTTAGGCCATTTGAACCTATACTGCAGTCTACCAGAAAATTATGCTCAAGTTTCAAAAAAGCATATTATTACCATTTCTCTCTCCATGAAGTCTGTATTCCGATCTCTTGGAGTATTTTTTATTGTATTCATTTTCTGTATCCCCATCCAATATTTATTGCCCAATGCCATTTACCATCACCTTTTCCAATTCCAATAATAGCATAGCAATCATATGACAATAACATAGGCCACATAAAGTTACTAAAAACTTACAAAAAGAATAGGTGGTGTACATACATGTAAGACATATTACTGAAAACTTTTGCTGGTGCATTCAACATCATGTAATCCATTATACACTTTTTCTATATAAGTTATACAATTGGAAATAATCCTTCTTTAAAACAAGGTGTTATCAGCTCTACAACCATCCATTGTTTACAACAATTAACGATTGAAGTTGTTGATCTCAAAATCACCTGATCCCACCTAGAAATCTTTATGAGCAGTTGTTGTTGGAATCAGTCGCTTCTCTAACAGAACTAGCAAGTTCTGATAGGGAACTCGGAGATATGAATCACCTAGGACCCTCTTTTTTATTTTCAAGGAATATAGAGAAATCTACAGGATCTTAATCATCAATTGGTGGCACTAACACTGTAGAATTGATGGGACATATAACAAACTATTTGTATGCTACTTAGAGCATGGAATATTTTCCTTAAGGAGTAAGGAACATGTTTTCTCTTTTTTTAAAGGATAAATATTATTTTTCTCATATATGCTCATTTTGGAGGACAATACATGAGCTCATGTAGCATATGCTCCCGTGAGAGTAATACTATACAACAACTCCCTCTGTTTGGGAGTGGTTTTTGGTTTTTTTTCTAGAAAAAATTGGTCCATCATTAGATTATTGTTTTCAAGATAAAAAATTGGATTATTGAGTTCTTGAATACCTAGATCTTTCCCTCAAAAAATTGGACAGTTTGTGTGCAATCTTGTGATATTTTTTTTTTTAGGTACAGCTATTAGAAAAATGAATAAATGGGAAAGTATGGTATGATACATGTAATATTGTAGGGACCTTTCAAATTCTGGCTAAATGAACTCTTAAAAACCTCAACTCTGATCTTGAAGGACTATAAAAACTCTAGTAGACCATAGACAATCTAGACCCAATATAATTATCCTAAAACTGTCGAAATCCTATCGTAACTTGAAGTAGAGCCTGAGAGCTTTTCAACGGTCTAATAATTACATGAATCGGACCTACGGATAAAAAGATATAACAAATGAGAACTTAGTCATTGTGAGACCTAAGTATCGGGCCGAGGGCCGGGCTGTAACGCAGCTCGACAGGCCCAAACGCAGGCTGATGATGCATTCAACCCATTTAATGATACAATAAAGACGTTTTATTTAATTAGATAAGGCTAAAAGTTCAAGATAAATCAAAAAAATTCTAAAATAATTCCAAAAAATCATAAAAAATCACCAATTGAATCTTATAAATATTCATTTCCATAACCAAAGAGGGAAGAAGAGGGGACCAAGAAAGAAGACGAAATCTATTAGAAAATCCTGAAATTAGAAAAATTACCCAAAAAAAGCAAAAAATAGAAAAACCACTTAGAAAATTCCAAAAAATTTAAAAAGATTCCCCAAAAATCACAAAAAATCACATAATTCATATTCAACCTTAGGAATCTCCCGATACCCTAAAATTTAAGAAAATTCCCCCAAAAATCCTAGAATTCATATTCAGGAGGTCCCAATACCCTTAGAAAACTAAGGAAATTATCGTTCAATTCCAATAAAAGCCTAGGTAGACCCTATCTAAAATTCACAGTTTTTCCCTATGCTTTAGGAACTCTTGATCTAGGTCAAAGAACCTGAGATCTACAAATTCCAGCAAACAAAGGCATCCAAAAAAAAAGAGATGGTAGCGCATATTGGAAGAGCAGTCTGATCTAAGCCCGAAACTCTGGGTTTCGGGTCCTTAACGGTAAATATATATTTCTTTGCTTAATTTAATTTGTTTTTCTTTATTTAATTATCTGATTTATATTATTTTTTCTGGAAATTAATTCATCATTAGATTTAATTAAATTTAGAAGCATTTTTTTGTCAAAATACAAATTTGGAGCTTGTACTGTCAGTAGATTTAGAAAAAGATCGGATTTATCTGGGATTTTTCTTAGCCCATAATTCAAACAAACCCCACTCTCTCTACCATTTCAAAAGTAATCAGTTTTTGCTAAGATTTAAGTAGATATCTTCTCAGAGATCGGCACAGATTGGAGCGTAAACAGTTTGGCGTCCACTGTGGGGCACTTTAAGCTTCAGATCCGTATTTTTGACTTAAATAAAAGCTTCTTTTTTTTTTCGCATATTTATTTTCTAGCAAAAAATGGTAGATTTGAAAAGATTTCTTTTTTGTCTGATTCTATCTTTTTCTTTCTCCATAAAAATAATTTACCATCTTTTTTTTTTCTCTTAATACCTTCCAGAACCAAAGTTCTATCTGTATTTTACATAGTTAATAAGGGGGGAAGATCAATATATCGGGTCACCATAAAATCGAAAATAAATCGTTTTTATTTTAAAAAGTCAGATGAAAAAATCGGGTAAAAAATTCGGAGCGTTAAAAATACTTTATGTAAAAATATCGCAAATATATCTGACTAGGCTCAAAAAATCGGAGTGAAAAAAAAAGAAGATATGTTTAAAATAAAATTAAGTAAAAACTTAAATAAAATTAAGTAAATTTTTTAAAAATAAAATGATCAGTTGATGATAAATATAATATATGATTTTTCTTATTAAATGCTTTAACAAACATCACATATACTTAGTACATAACACACAAAAAAAAAAAAGAAAAAGAAAAAGAGGGGCAATGTGAGATAAGTAGAATTGAGTTGGCTATGTTCATTTCTCTCTCCATATGGTGACCGTCCATTTATAACCATAGTTAAGCGACTCCATACATGCATAGCAAAGAGAAACAAGATGAGCATAAAATATGAGAGAAGAAGCTTAATGAGCGAGAGTATAGTTAGCAAGTCGGGGACTTTCAATAATTCGACTCGCCATAAAATTGGATATAAATCGTTTCTATTGTAAAAAATCGGATGAAAAATCTGGTAACAAATACAGATCGGCCAAAATACTTCATATAAAAATATCGCTAATATATCGGATTAGGCTAAAAAATTAGATAAATTTATAATATTAAAAATTTTGAAATTCTAAAAAATAAAAGTTATGTCAAAGCCATCAATAACTAATTCATCCATAAAAATTTTATTAGACTAATATAATTAAGTCAATTAATTTAGATTCTTCATGACTCTCATCCAATCCTCTAATATTAAATACATAACTAACTACTATATACCAGAAAAAATGTACCATATAAATCTACCTATTAAATACTTTAAAAAACATCATACTTACTTATTACATACCAAAAACAAATATACTATATAAATATATTTATTACATGCTTTAACTATGGTACGGTGATAAATATATTATATAAATTTATTCTTTAATTACTTAAATATCACACCTATTCAACATAACCAAAAAAAAGTATACAATTTTTGTGTTCTCGTTACAATGATTTAATTACAGCTCCATAACTATGGTTAAAGTTTTATAAATTTTAATTGAAAAGAGGCTCGTGGAAATTTGGGTTTCACACCTCTGTATTTACGGTTTGGATAGAAGAAGAAGAAGGAAGAAGGAAGGAAGAGAAGAAAATAGTCCTGGGCTCATAACGGGTTTATACAGAGAGAAGAAGGAAGAAGGAAGAGGTCGTCGGCTTCACAAAACCAAAGGGAAGCTGATTTTGTTGATTTTTAGAGAGAGAAAAAGAAACGGATTTTATTGATTTTTAGAGAGAGAAAAGGAAGATGGTATGGTGATTTGGGATTTTGAAGATGGGTTTTCCTCTGATTTTTAGAGAGAGAAAAGGAAGATGGGATGGGATGCTGATTTGGAACGAAGGAAGAGAAGAAAATAGTCCTGGGCTCATAGCGGGTTTAGAGAGGAAGGAAGAAGGACGAGGTCATCGGCTTCACAAACCCTAATGGAAAAAGCCCTAACTGATTTTACTGATTTTTAGAGAGAGAAAAGGAAGATGGGATGGGATGCTGATTTGGGATATTTTGAAGAGGGTTTTTCTCTCTGATTTAGGATGTTGTTTGAGAGAAAGCCCTAACTAGACCCTAACTGATTTTTAGAGAGAGAAAAGGAAGAGGGTTTTTTATTTTCTTGGGGAAACCACATGAAGAGCTGAAGGACTAGGTATGAGGAACTCATTTAAGTTTACAGTTTATTCTATATTGGTTATCTTTGTTATCACATAATCCAAAGCAAAATATTAATTTCTTGGTCCTGTAGTCACACTTTCTGCTTCTCATTCATCAGTATATGTTTTGAGCTCTAATTTGTGCCATAAACAGTATTTTCGTAAAAACAATTATCAGAAATAATCACAGAAATCTGCATGTTAATGATTTTCTTTGCACAAGGATTTACTTTACAAAATGATTTGCTATAAACAGTATGTCATTTACGCAATGATTTTCCATAATAACAACTGAAATTTGCATCTATTTGTTTAAGTTTAAAAAATAGAGAAAAAAAAATTCATACCTTCAATCTGCAACTGTGGCTTTGAAGAAACAGTGTCGATAAAAATTTCTATTTTAAGTTTTTTTTTGAGATAATATTTTTTTTTCAAAAGCATGAAAGTAGCAATGGCTGCAATACACAAAAACACAAAACAGTAAAAAAATAAATAAATTATCATTCAAAAAAAATATACGATTTGTTGGCCTGATTTAAATCGTCATATAAAACAAATGCGTTTTAAAAGTTTTTATGAAAATTACGCTATTTTTTTCCGACCTTTTCAAAAAGTCTCCTGTTTAAAACTGTTTCCATAAAAACGCCGACTTTTTTAAAAAATTGCCGATTAAAAGGCGATTTGCTAACTATGAGAGAGAGAGAGCATGCATAGGCACAGAGAAACAAGATGGGCATAAAATCTCAAAGAAGAAGAAGAACACGGTGGACATAAACCCTAATCCAAGTTTTCCAGAATTAGGTTTGCAGATTAGGCCCTAATCTGGTTTTTTTTTTTTTTTTTGAAGCTTTTGTTTTAGGGATTTAAGATGTATAAATTGTGATAATCTGGGTCATTGAGCCCTAATTTGGATGCATTTTTTGGTGGAATTTTGTCAAGACAAAAGTTGAGGATTTTGATTCAAGGGTTTTTATGGTATTTTATTCTAATTTGATTCAATGGATTTGAGCATAAACCCTAAGATAATAATAATAATAAACCCTAACAATATACTTGGAGATAAAAATTTACTTTTTAGAGATTTTTTTTTTTGAAAATAATACACTTTTTAGAAAGCATGGAGATAACAATTACAGGAAAAAAGTTTTCATCTTTTAGAAAAGAAAAAAAAATACAGGTAAAAAAGGCAAAAGTCTTTTTGGACCGATTTTTTCGTAAAGGTCAATAAGGCACGTTTTAAACTTTTATGTGAAAAATCGTGTATTTTTGCTGATCTTTTAAAAAAGTCTTAGTTTTAAACGTTTTTTGAAAAAACTCTGTATTTCTTAAGAAGTCACGTTTTAAACGTCGACTTGCTGAGTATGGTATTAAATAACCTATAGCCTTGTTTCGTGTTCCACTTTATCTTGGAATATTGAGAGGGCTAAATCTTTTGTACCTTGAATTGGGGTTTTCCTCTTTCGATTCAGGCAAAAGAAAGGGAAAGGAAAACTGCTTTGTCGTGAGTTTATTGGGCCTGGTCTTACTGTATTCTTGGTTGGAAGCAACAAATAAAAGAAATCCAGGTCTGTAATTAAGGTGTTGTAGCTGTATTACCATGGGGAAGCCTAGTGGGAAGAAAAAGAACTACTCACAATCAAATTCTGGCGATGCATCAATGAAGCAACATAAAGCAAGTGATCTCAACTCCAAAACCATCGATGAGGACATGATTGTGTTTATTTTAAGGTCCCAGGAGTTAAAAGAAGAAGGCAACAAGCTTTCCAGAAGAGAGAATACTTTGAAGCCAGGTCTAAGTACGAGAATGCCCTGAAACTACTCCCTAAAGGCCATATAGATTGTGCATACCTTCACAGCAACATAGCTACCTGTTTCATGCAGATGAACCCTTCAAAGTATCAGAAGGCCATTAATGAATGTTGTATGGCTCTTGAAGTTTCCCCTAAATACACCAAAGCACTCTTGAAAAGGGCTAAATGTTATGAGGCTTTAACCAGGCTTGACTTGGCTCTTCGAGATGTCAACATAGTGTTAAGCTTAGAGCCAAAGAATCTAACTGCTCTAGAGATTGCAGAAAGGCTAAAACAAGCTTTACAGAAAAAAGGCTTTCCCCCAGACAATATCAGCACAAAGAATGTGGTAGAACCGGTTTCTCAACGAACTCAAGTTAAAATTTCAAAAGAGAATGTAATAGAACCAGTTACGCAGCAACCCCAAGTTAAAGGCTCAAAAGAGAAGTCAAGGAAAAAGAAGATCAGCAAGATTGAAGACAAGATAATTGTGGAGGAGACAGATAACGCGATTGTGGAGGAAAATGTTAAAGTTGAACCTATCAGGGCAGTGAAGCTGGTTTTAGGAGAGGATATAAGATGGGGTCAGGTACCAGTGAATTGCAACATTAAGCAGTTAAGAGAGATGGTTCGGAATCGTTTTCCTTGTTCTAAAGCAGTCTTAATTAAATATAGGGATGTAGAAGGAGACTTGGTGACGATTACAACCACTGAAGAGCTCAGATGGGCTGAGGAATCTGCAGACCCTCAGGGTTCCTTGAGGTTGTATATATTCGATGTTAGTCCTGATCAGGAGCCTTTATTTGAGGATGCGAATAATGAGTCGGAATCACTAAAACCCAAGGAAGCCGCAAAAGAAAATGGGGTCTTGGCCTCAGACAAGGCACCTCATATTGATGATTGGATTGTACAGTTTGCTAGGCTTTTCAAAAGTCATGTGGGATTTGATTCTGAGGCTTATTTGCATCTCCATGATATTGGTATGAAGCTCTATTCAGAAGCCATGGAGGATACTGTAACCAGTGAAGAAGCTCAAGGCTTGTTTGAAATCGCAGCAGAGAAGTTCCAAGAAATGGCGGCTCTTGCTTTGTTCAACTGGGGAAACGTCCATATGTCTAGAGCAAAGAGGAGAGTGTCTTATGGAGAGGTTGTTCCAAGAGAGCTGATCCTATCACATATTAAAAATGGTTACGAATGGGCTCAAAGAGAATACAACAAGGCTGGAGAGAGATATGAGGAAGCTCTCAGGATCAAACCAGACTTTTATGAGGGGTTTCTTGCTCATGGGCAACAACAATTTGAGCAAGCCAAACTAGGATGGGATTTTGCTCTTGGTAGCCATGTGGATTTAGAGACTTGGCCTTCTTCAGAGGTCCTTCAGTTGTTCAACAATGCTGAGGACAATATGGAGAGGGGCACGAATATGTGGGAGGAGATGGAGGAGAAGCGCTTGAATGACCCAAAAATTAAGGGGAAAACTGAAACACAAAAGATAGGAGAAAATGGGGTCACAAAGGAACTATCTCCTGAAGAAGCTGTTGAACTGGTTGCAAATATGAGGTCACAAATCAACCTCTTATGGGGTACTATGCTTTATGAGCGCTCTGTTATAGAATTTAAATTGGGCTTACAAGTCTGGGACGAATGTTTGGAAGCTGCTGTTGAGAAATTCAAACACGCCGGTGCTTCCCCAACTGACATAGCTGTCATGATAAAGAACCACCCTTCAAATTCAACTGCTCTAGAAGGTACACTGACCCATATATTCAGATTTTTAAATTATGGCCCAAGATATTGATGGTTAATGACTATTTCCAGTGATTCAAAAATGTTGATCAGATCATGTGAATTACCGATCCTGATTTGGAATCAGTGGGGACCGACCCGGTTCCCAGCTGGAATTGGGAATCGATCTGGTTTTGACAAACTCACTTGGTTTGTCAAAGAACTGGGCAATCTGGATCGTCATAATCCTTGTTCCTCTCATTTTATTTTATCTTCATTTTTTATTAGAATATTATTTAATTTTTTTTGGGACCGATTCCCAAACTAGAGATCCAACAAGGGACCAAACCAGCTGCTAGATCCGGGTTTTAAAACACGGAATACATCTATAGCCATGTAAACTAGTTGAGAACCCTTTTTTTGTAGCCATGAGTTGTTATTTTTCAAGTAAAGGACCTTCCATAGTTATCTAAACTACTCGACACCCATTTTTCTCTTGTTCTTTCTCAAACAACCATCGAGCGCATGTCATTACTCAAAAAGGTAATATATACCAATCCTTCATTATGAAGGATTTTAAATTATAGACCACCTTCTTCATGCATGTCTGATATTTCAGATTACTGATATGTAAGCTATTCTGTACCCATCTTTTTCGTACTTCTCTTAATTTGTCATGAAGTCAATAAGTGAAAGGATAGTTGACTATTACTTGTCAATTTACTACGTATGATGCAGGCTTGAATTTCAAGATTGATGAGATAGTTCAGGCATGGAATGAAATGTATGATGCTAAAAGGTGGTTGAAGGGTGTTCCTTCGTTCAGGCTAGAGCCTTTATTTCGTCGGAGGGTTCCAAAATTGCATCGTGTTTTGGAACATGTATGATTTGTTCATTTATTTATTCTGGTGTGAGGTAGAATTCAAAATTCCTATTAGGCAATATTTGGGCGATTGTGGGCCTTTGTTTTTATTTAGATTCGTTGTCTGGAAGCAGAAGATGTATATTGCTTTAAACAGGTAATTTCTACTCCTTTAGGATTTTTATTTATTTATTTATTTATTTAATTCTAGAAACAGAAAAATGTATTTATTAGAATGTGAAATTTTTCAATTCTCCTTTTTATTATATGATTATTCTTTTCCTACAAGTTATTTGGATATTGAAATCTGCAGTCTTTAGCTTCATTATCTACATGAATTTAGCAGTTCAGATCATACCGTTTTGTCCCCTTTACAATTTCTTCTATGTAAAGCAAATCATGAGCTCCATGTTTCGTGGACCTCCCAGTACCGTTATACTTTCTTTGTTATTTAATTTGACTAGTTAACTTATCTCAAAAAAAATAATATTCACTGTGAGAAGCTTCCACATCCCAATTACTATTTTTTTTTAGATGGTTTGTTAGTGTTCTGGTTGAGCTGTCTTATCAACCAGCATAAGAAACATCGCCAAACTTGAGCACTGAAGGACTTAATGTGTATATGATTACAAATCTTTGCATTTATAACAATCCCATGGAAAATTTCCGCTTTAGTTCTTTAGAAAGCTCTGTGATTGGAAATTTACTTAACTAGCATTTTACCTTCTTCTGTCTAATCTTCTAGACTGATACGTTTCCTCTTTATCACGATAAATGTGTTTTTTTTTTTTTTATAACTTATCCCGATAAATGTGTTGTTTGGCTGTTAGTTGAAGTTGATTTGGCATAATATGTGGAATCAAGAGCATGACCATCAAATTCTAATGGCACCTTTTCTCTTTATGCAAGCAAACTTCCTGTTTGTTACCCAAAACAACAGTGTTGTTTGACTACTGGTTAAATTTGGATCACCATAGTATGCTGAATGAACAGACTCTAAAAGGATGACTATTAGACTCTAATAAGAGGCTTTGTTAGAAGTCCTCTTCCATGAAGTGCTAACTTTTCTATGTCATCATCGTCGTCTTCATCTTCCAAGTCTTACCCCAACTAGTTGGGGTTGGATAATTCCTATAGAGATGTGGCAACGTAAAACTTTGCCAAACCTTCTCATGAATCCGGAATAGCAGACCACGATTCGTGTAGCCGACCCCAATTAGTTGGGAAAGGCTTTGTTAATGATTATGATGTGGCAAAAGTTTTATGCTGGCTGCCAACCTAACACAACCGTTCCCCTTTCTCATCCGAGCTCGGGACCAGCTGTGGCGGAGTTTCTCCTCCCACAAAAACAAGAACAAATATTGCCATAAATAATTCGATTACATGAACGTACTAATACTTGAACACATTATTTAATTTTTTAGAATATTATTTAAATTTTTGGGGATCGATTCCCATACTGGAGATCCAGCAAGGGACCAATCCAACTGCTAGATCCGGGTTTTAAAACATGGAATACATATATAGCCATGTAAACTAGTTGATAACTCTTTTTTTTCTAGCTATGAATTGTTATTTTTCAAATAAAGGACCTTCCATAGCTATCTAAACTACTCGACACCCATTTTTCTCTTGTTTTTCTCTTGTTTTTCTCGACACTCATTACTCAAAAAGGTAATATATACCAATCCTTCATTATGAAGGATTTTAAATTATAGACCACCTTCTTCATGCATGTTTGATATTTCAGATTACTGATATGTAAGCTATTCTATACCCATTTTTTTCGTACTTCTCTTAAGTTGTCATGAAGTCAATAGGTGAAAGGATGGTTGACTATTATTTCTCAATTTAATATGTATGATGCAGGCTTGAATTTCAAGATTGATGAGATAGTTCAGGCATGGAATGAAATGTATGATGCTAAAAGGTGGTTGAAGGGTGTTCCTTCGTTCAGGCCATTAAAGCCTTTATTTCGTCGGAGGGTTCCAAAATTGCATCATGTTTTGGAACATGTATGATTTATTCATTTATTTATTCTGGTGTGAGGTAGAATTCAAAATTCCTATTAGGCAATATTTGGGCGATTGTGAGCCTTTATTTTTATTTAGATTCGTTGTCCGGAAGCAGAAGATGTATATTGCTTTAAACAGGTAAATTCTACTCCTTTAAGATTTTTATTTATTTATTTATTTAATTCTAGAAGCAGAAAAATGTATTTATTAGAATGTGAAGTTTTTCAATTCTCCTTTTTATTATATGATTATTCTTTTCCTACAAGTTATTTGGATATTGAAATCTGCAGTCTTTAGCTTCATTATCTACATGAATTTAGCAGTTCAGATCATGCCGTTTCTACGTTTCGTGGACCTCCCAGTACCATTGTACTTTCTTTGTTATTTAATTTGACTAGTTAACTTATCGCAAGAAAAAAATATTCACTGCGAGAAGCTTCCACGGCCTCTCACATCCCAATTACTATTTTTTTTAGATGGTTTGTTAGTGTTCTGGTTGAGCTGTCTTATCAACCAGCATAAGAAACATCGCCAAACTTGAGCATTGAAGGACTTAATGTGTATATGATTACAAATCTTTGCATTTATACTAATCCCATGGAAAATTTCCGCCTTAGTTCTATAGGAAGCTCTGTGATTGGAAATTTACTTAACTAACTTGCCTTTTTCCTTCTTCTGTCTAATCTTCTGGACTGATACCTTTCCTCTTTATCCCGATAAGTGTGTTGTTTGGCTGTTAATTGAAGTTGATTTGGCGTAATATGCGGAATCAACTAACGAGAAGAGCATGACCATCAAATTCTAGTGACACCTTTTCTCTTTATGAAAACAAACTTCCTTGTTTGTTACCCAAAACAACAATGTTGTTTGACTACTGGTTAAATTTGGATCACCATAGTATGTTGAATGAACAGACTCCAAAAGGGTGACTATTAGACTCTAATGAGAGGCTTTGTTACAAGTCCTCTTCCATGAAGTGCTAACTTTTCTATATCATCATTGTCGTCTTCATCTTCCAAGTCTTACCCCAACTAGTTGGGGTTGGCTAATTCCTTAAAAGATGTGGCAATGTAAAACTTTGCCAAAACTTCTCATGAATCCGGAATAGCAGATCAGGATTCGTGTAGCCGATCCCAATTAGTTGGGAAAGGCTTTGTTGATGATTATGATGTGGCAAAAGTTTTTTGCCGGCTACCAACCTAACATGACCGTTCTCCTTTCTCATCCGAGCTCGGGACCGGCTGTGGTGGAGTTTCTCCTCCGCAAAAACATTAACAAATATTGCCATAAATAATTCGACTACATGAATGTACTAGTACTCTAAACACATATCAGTCTAGGAGCACTCTCCTCACCCCTTCGATTCCTCCCCAGCTTCCATTGTCAACTGGGTCGACCTCATTTTGACCAGTTCACATACAGGGGTTGCCCTATCTATCTCTACCTTTTGTCCATAACTCCCCAGAATCCGGTCCTTCACATCCAACTCAATTAGGGATTCTTTGTAGTAGGAGGCTAGATGCTCCCCTGCTAACCAATTCACACCAGGTGACAATTAAGTATCAGATAAAAAAGCTCGATCCAAAAGTAAAAGATCACCAAAAACACTAAACAAATACTAGAAGTGAGAAGATATGTTAATGAAAATATCATATAAAGAAGAATGATTCATATTCCAGTGGGTACCACTTTTAAAGACCTACTGATGTCTTAAAACAGTTGAAGTTTGACCAATATTACTGCTAACAACAGAAGTTCACGACAGTAATTCAAGCGAAATTTAAAAATCCAATAGGATCAGTTTGGTTTGAAAATTTTTATGACACATTAGTTCTCACACAGCAGCACTGAATTGGAGCATCCACAAACTAAGTATATTTCATGTTAGGCCATTTGAGTCTATACTGCCGTCTACCGGAAAATTATGCTCAAGTTTCAAAAGAGCATATTATTACCTTTTCTCTCTCCATTAAGTATGTATTCCGATCTCTTGGAGTTTTTTTTTATTGTATTCATTTTCTATGTCCCCATCCAATATTTATTGCCCAATGCCATTTACATTTTCAATTTTCAATCATAGCATGGCAATCATATGACATTAACATAGGGCACATAAAGTTACTAAAAACTTACAAAAAGAATAAGTGGTTACGTACATGTAAGACATATTACTGGATACTTTTGCTAGGGCATTCAACATCATGTAATCCATTATACACTTTTTCTATATAAGTTATACAATTGGAAATAATCCTTCCTTAATGTAACCCCTACTATATCTATCAGTTGAGCAATTTGTGTTATACTACTTTTTGGGCGTGTTTGATAACAGGAAGTATCTTCCAGAAACTTGGAACTTCACTTTACTATTTATGTTTGGTGTTTGATAAAAAAACAGAATTTAAATGGCGAACTTCACTTTACTGTTCATCTTCCTCTTTTATGTGTTAGAAAAAGTTCCGACCAAAAGGTCGGAACTTGAAGTGGGAAGTTTTTATAAAACTTCACCCCCGAAAGTTTACCCTGAACCATCCCTCTTCGCAGCACGCCGCCATCAGCCAGAGCCCTCTCGCTGAGCCACCCTTCTCCTCTGTTCTTCGCTGCACTCAGCTGCCTCTTCTTCCTTCTTCCTTCCTCGTCAACCTCCCAGCATCCCTCTTCGCAGAGCCTCCTGGTTTGCTTCATCATGTACCTCACTCCTCTCTCTGTCTCTCTCTTTCCATTTCTGGAAAATGGCTTTCGTTCTCATCTCTCTCTGCAGAACTACTTTATTCTCTCGCTCTGTATCTCTCTCCATCCAGCTGTGTAGCCCTAAATCTCATTCTCTCTCTATCTCCACTGAAAATGTTAGCCCATTGTCCTTCTTTCTCTAAAAAATTTCACTGGTTTTTTTTCCAAAAATATCTTTCTCTTTCATACCCCTCTCTCTCAGATCCCCAAATCCATTTATTTTTTGAGGGGATCTGAGAGATTCACTAGTTTTTTTTTTCATGGATTGTTAGCTTTATATTAAATAGATCTCACTGTTTTTTTTTTTTTCAGATTGTTAGTTGTATATAACAGCTAGCATATTTGTGTTGCGGGGTCTCTGGTACACCTGTTCTTTCCTTTTTCTTTTTGATTTTTTTTACTGAAAATGCTTGTAAATTTGCTTTAGTTTGATACTCATGTAGCAGGATAGGGCTTTAACTAGTTGATTTTCTCCATAAATTTGAGACCTTAAGCTGCGATTTTTCTGCATATACTTAAATTAATTTTTTGGGTAAATCAGTGAGGGCATATACTTATTCTATTTAGTCTTTTCTTCTCTTCTGTTGCTTTTCTTTTGTTTTATATGCAAAATGCAAGTTTATCGCATTGTTTGTAGGTTTGATCTAGGCTTGTTTTAATACACTGCAAGACTTCTTGCTTTAGCATTTGGTTCTGTACAAAGTTGCAATTTTGGGTGTGGAATTTGTTGATTTCTCTGTAAAATTGCAATTTTGGTGTGAAATTTGATAGTTCAATGTCGGGTTATATTATTCAGGAGATATTTTTTTTGGGGGGTTTTTTTTTTTTGTTAATGACTTTTTTTAGTCTTCACCCTGAGTTTTTGTTATGATCTTTTTTCTTTGTGAAATTTATGTGATTTTGAGCTTATGCTTCTGAGATGGTGCTTTTTTCCCCTGATTTTCTTATTTAATTTCCTTAAAAAATAATGGATGTGAAAACAATTGGTTAAATTAAATTTATGAGATTTTGACCTTATGCTTCTGATTAAAGAAGGGACTTCGATTTGTGAAGGGTCATGCATCTCCAAGATCCTGTTATCTGGAGATGGTGCTTTTTTCCCCTGATTTTCTTATTTAATTTCCTGAAAAATAATGGATGTGAAAACAATGTTATTTAATTTCTTGCAAAATAATGCTTTTTTTTTTTTCATGGATTGTTAGCTTTATATTAAATAGATCTCACTGTTTTTTTTTTAGATTGTTAGTTGCATATAATAGATGTCAAGGTTTTTTTTTTAGATTGTTAGTTGTATATAATAGATGTCACTGTTTTTTTTTTTTCATGGATTGTTAGCTTTATATTAAATAGATCTCACATGCTATTTTGATTGGCTTGAAGTTATTTGCATGATTGTGTAGTGGAATTGGCTCCTCTTTGGGTATTGCCTTTCTTTAGATTTTTTATTTGTAGATGAAATATTAATTATTCTTTTCATTATTTCCTTCTTGAATTCACAGCAGCCATTTGGTCTTGCTTTTTATGGCAGAATTGATGTGTAGTTCACACAAAACAATCAGTTGTGCTTCACTCATATATCTATGGTTAGCCATGTATTCTTCTTGTATTTGTCTTTTTTATTTTCATGCAACATTTGAGGTGAACCTGTAATTAGAACTTGTTCTACATTTGATATGGACCTTATTTTGTGACCACAAATTTTGAGTCATCGTCGAATGTTGTGTTCATTCTATTGCATTTTCAATTATATAAGTTTAGTTGCGATTGCTTACTAGCTTGCTTGTTTTCATTCCTGAATTTGTTCTTCACTCAATGGTTTCATTTGTTCCAAGTATTTATTGAAATTGTTTTGCTATTTTTTTTATTTTTTTAAAATGCTTTGATATACAACTATGATGTGGGTTCATGAAATCTGATATATTTTTTCTATGATACACAGCTATGATGTGGGTTTGTTTATATATTTTTATGCAAAGAAGAAATGCATGAATTACCAACATTTTCATTTTCTTCACTCAATGGTTTCATTTATTCCAAGTATTTATTGAAATTGTCTACAGATTGCTTCAATTTTGAGGTGAAATGAAGTTTATCATGCAACATCTTGTGTCAATTGATGTACAAATAATATTCTACAAATTAATAAAAAATAAATAATATCTAGGTCACAATTTTAACCTTTTACATCTTGCCTATTTTAATCTAATCCAAAACAGATACCCATAACTTCTTTAACTTCCCAGGAGGTTATAAAACACAGAAACCAGGAACTTTTTAACTTCCCAGGAGGTTATCAAACACAGAAACCAGGAACTTCTTAACTTCTCAGGGAACTTCTTAACTGCCCAGGAGGTTATCAAACACAGAAACCAGGAACTTTTTAACTTCTCAGGGAGATTATCAAACACTGAAACCAAGAACTTCTCAAGTAACTTCTAATTTACAGTTCTTCAAGAACTTCCAATTTACAGTTGATGAACTTGTTTTCAGTTATCAAACAGGCCCTTAAGTTTGCAGGTCACCTGGTGTGTAAGA